TGGACAAAAGGCACCGTCCTCGAAGTCGCCCACGAAGAAAAAGAAGTCGACGGCAAAAAAGTAAAAGCAACCAAAGAAGATCCAAGAATCGTGCTCAAGAGTGATTCTTCCGGGAAAGTTGCTGTGCATAAACCTGATGCTGTTTTCTTTTGATTTGGTGACAAGGGCTGAGGAGAGGAGGAGGAGGAGGAGGAGGAGGAGGAGGGTAAGAATAGATGGTTGGGGGAAAGACGTTTGTAATGGTAATGGGGAGTGTAACGACATGGGAAGTGGTAAGATAGATTAGTAGGATGAGTGTATGAATATTTCGTTTGATTCTCAACCCTCCTTGTGAGGTTCTTGCTTGTCCTTCTTCTCGTTCGTCGACTGGTCGGTCATAAGGCACAGTTATCCTTTGATCGAGACTGGATCAGTAATTGACGACTCCTTCGAACTTCGACGACGAGCATCGACCGGACTCGTCGCTAGCTCGCAGCTAGTCCGGAGACTAGTACCGCACCGTGACGACGGTCAAAACTCGCTTTTCGACGGACGCAGCCGCACCAAAACTAAGATGCGTCTTCGTCACGTCACAATCATCGCAAACACACCAACTTGACCAAGAACTCTTTCAATCATGGCGAGCAATACTGTTACGATATCTATCTATCCTTGCACCACCAGTGCATCGTGAATATCGACAACAGCTTGCCACCAACATCGCGCACTTCTACTACGCAACTGTATAATGCATCTAGTTTTGCAAACGCGCAAAGACCTTCTCTTCTCACCAGCAATCAACACGACTACTGTTCTTCTGCTCCTGTTCCCATGCCTCCAGCTTGGCCATATCATTCTCATCGCCGCGCCTTCCCTGGTTCAGGACGCCAACACCATCCATACCGACGACAACATAATCAACAATGTTCTGGATATCACACAGCATCTTATCGTCGAGAACGTCCTTCGGCTGCCAGGAAGCGTCGTCACCAGTGTTCGTCTCCAAGTTTTGATCGAAGAAAGTTTTGGCGTCAACAGACATCTTTGCTTCGTACCACAAGCGATGCTCTGCGATCATGGTAGATCTCTCTGCAGACGCGAACTGGTGCAGAGAAGTGTCTTCCTTCATCCTAGCTTCCGTCAATTTCTGAACCTCTGTGAGGTGCAGGGTGATGCGATCGTTCTGGACATAACCGAATGACATGCGCTTCTTGGCGTAGGCACTGTAGATTTTCAGGTCGGTAACCACACGGAAGCGCATATCGACGAGGCGACCATTCTTGGAGTCGCGGACTTCAACAGACAGCTTCTCCATAAATTGTGAGACTGCCTTGTGGTGCGTGTATGGCTTACTGCCACGGACAGAGAAGCAAGCATCCCACCTACGCTTTGGATAGTGGAACAAGACTTGACCGATGGTATTGGGACCAAGTGTGGTTTCGGCGACTTCAGAATCCTTCACCTTAACGATCAGATGGTTGTGGTACTTGTCTTCGCAATGGAATTCATACCAGCAATCTTCCCCAATGCTTCCTTGGTCGAAGAGACGTGGAACTGGAATCTGGCATGCCTCAGTGACAGAAGACGTCAGCCTCTCCAGGAAGAAGGAGTGTGTGTTGGTGTCAGAAGAGAGATGCTCTTTGATGCCTTGAGCCATGAGTTTGGCCGGCATCGGCTTCGAATAAGCAAACTCCTTCGCTTCAAGTCCTGTCAAGCCCTGTATCAAGAAGCGACCGATGGGGACTTCCATGTCCAGAGAACCCCTGAAAGCTCTGGCGTTATCCAGAATCTTCAACAGATCGTTGCTACAGTCTGGAAGTACCAGAGGCTTGACCTGAGGAACCCGTGGTATCTGAGGTGCACTTGCTCGAGTCTGCTCGGGCTTGCTTGTCTGCTGGACGGATCTGGGATCATACTCTGGAGCATCAGGCTGTGCTTTGAACGAAGGCTTACTCGACTTTCCCTTGATCTGCGATCTTGGATTAGGCTTGCGGTGATTTGTTGTTTGGAAGTACCTCCGGGTTGCGACTTCGTCTTCGATCTGAAGGGTCTCAATGATATCGGTGATCTCGTCAGACGAGGTCTCTGCAGGCATAGTCTGCGCTGCTTGAGAGTATTGGCCAGGCTGGGTTGATAGTCCTGGTGGCCTGACAAGGGTAACTCCACGAGATGGTCGGAGAGTGGGTGCTTGTTGGACTTGACGCTGACGTCCAGATCCAAGAGGTGGGAACGATTCGGTGCTGTTGTCGTCAACAAACTTCGGCAGTTCCTCGATACCGTAGTCGACTGGAGTCGGGCATGCAGGCGTAACATCCCATGATGCTTTGACCGACTTGTCCGACCATTTGATTCCAGGCTGCGCAACGGACTGCGACTGCTCTGTGAGGACAGCCGAATGTGCAGAAGCGATGTCGACCGATCCAGGAGCCGAGGTATGGGGGGAGTACCTTGGCAGACAAGGCTGGAGAGGCGATCTCGGCCGGCCCTCGTAGTCGATAAGAAGATCCGATCTGGGGGCCTCGGTGTTGACAAGCAGACTAGAGTTTGGGCGACTCTCGGAGTCAGTCTCCTCAGGAAACCCAAGATCTTGAACAGGACGTGCTGCCTGAGGTTTGACTTTTATAGCAGCAGGGCTCAATGTGAGCCACACTTTGTCTTTGGAATCACCACCCTCGGGATCACCGCCCATTAGATCGTCTCCCACAGGTGCTTCAAAGTCAAGAGTCTTCTGCAGCCAGATTTCGACCGGATTGTCGACGAATGTCAACAAAAGCGCATGCATGCCATCTTTGACGAATTGCGGGAGCTGTATTGAGGAGAACCTCGAAACCAGTCTCTCGTCATGAGCGTACTTCGATGGCGGTGTGCTGAAGACATATGGGTGACCTTTGTCGTCATAGCACATCAAGCGTATGACGCGCTGACGTGGTAGCATGTTGTACCATCCGGCGGGACTCAGGGTCTGAAGCATGGTGCCATCTCTCAGAGCGTGAAGACGATGGAGCTGGACCTTGGCCGCAGCTTCCTTCTCCATACGCATGAAGTGAGAAACGATCATTGGACAATGCTTGATGAGTCAGTCGATGTCACAGCGCTGATGCTCGATCGGACTTACAAAATTCCTCTCGATGCGGCTCAATTTCATCTTGACGGTTTGGATCTTGCTCTCCGATGCATTAGTGATGAAGACGCATGCCTTCTCAGCGCTCAGTGCCAATGAGCAAGCAGTATCCTGAGCGACATCGTGCAGAACTCGGTCCGGCAAAACATCCTTGATCTTCGTGCTTGAGTATCCAGGGCTCCAAAAGTCTTTCTTCTCATCCTCTTCGTGGCCACCGCCAACATCGATGAGCATTTCCTCGCCATCGGAATCGTCATCTTCTTCTCTGAGGAGATCATCAATATCATCCTCAACATTGCCATTTCCACCTGTCTCGGGAGGACGAACGATTTTGGGGTCACTCAATACGTCCAATGGGCCGTCTTGGTGCGTAATGATGTACTCGTTGCAGATGTCAACGAACTTGAAGAAAGTGTTGTCGTGTCCGGGTTCCGGGAACTCGATACAAAACATCTAAAGAAAGTCAGAAGCTGAGTAGAGACATGAAGAGACGAGACACTGTGTAAGTACCTGCTTGTCGGACATGTATGTGCATCTGACATTGGCGTCGTTGACCATTTCGTCGAACATGGTGATCAATTCATCAGGGTCATGGAACTTCCACACCGTGCTGTGCAGATAAGTGCTCGCCATGGTTGTTGAGTCAAACAGTAGGCGTCAGGTAGGCGATAACTTCCGAAGAATAAGCAGAGGAAAGAGATCTTGGAGTGATGAAACAAGTGTGATGAGAATGCTGATGCGCCAGAGAATTTCAGGTCGGCGTTTTCGCAGATGTCGACTGCGCCTTGTTGTCTCTAGTGTCTGTCAACCAGGAAGCTGCGAGGACCCGCGCATGCACCTTGCATGAGTGTCCAAGAGCTCTAAAAAACGATGCTAGCCACGTTTGGTCGATTGTTTGAAGCGGCAAGGGCAATCAGACTCCCTGAATTGCTCTAGCAGCACTCACTTGTCCAGTTCTTCGCGATGGACTTCTTCCTATAGGTCTCGAACAGCAGCTCGTGTCATTTCGTCTTCGTATACCATGAATGATGATATGGTGCTACCTGTATTATGCCCTTTCCTTCCGTAACGCCTCGCTATGCAGCCATTTGTGAGCAATAACATGTCTGCTAACAATAAATCCCACAAACAATTAACCCATGAACGCCTCTCGTAAGGCCCCTTCATAATCAGGGAAGCCACTATACAACATGAACAATGCCGGAAATCTCATTCTCTTACTTTACTCCAAATGAGCTTCGCTCTTCGAGGCAGACCTCTGAACCTGATGCTCAAGAAGGTGGTGACGGCGGAGGCGAGCTGACACCATTCTCGCTGTTGACTTTCTGCATGTTCATGAGCCACTTCATGCGATTCATGGTGTCGTGCATCTCCTCCAAGGTCTTGTCAAGCTCCACCTCACGATTGCTGATGCCACCCTTCAGGTCCTTCACATCTCCGAGAACGTCGTCAACCTCAGAGTCCTTCTCTTCCCTGTATCTGTCCGATGCTGCCAGCAGCTCGTTATACAGCTTTCTTGCTTTCTCCGATTCTTGACGCATTTGGTGATTGACGACATCCAGCTTGATCAGACGTTTCCGATCCTCCTCTCGATCGTCGTTCAGCTCTCGTAGTTGCTTGTTAGCCGCTGCGATACGCTGTCGGTATTCGGACGATAGTTGACGATGTGAAGTCTCGAGGATTGAGGCGTGAGTGGTTGCGTGCTTGGCTTCTTCAACGGCCTGCTGGACTTCTTTGTTGCTGTGCTCATGATATTCGCCCATCTTGCGCTCGGCATCCTGTACCCGGTGTTCCAAGGACTCTCGTTTCTGTCGTTCAACATCCAGCTCGGCCTTGAGGTCCTCGATTTTGCGGTCTCGGCGCTTAATCACACTCTCGTCCACGGCTTTGCAGTGTGATAGCCGTGCATTTTCCGCCTGAAGAGCTTCCAGCCGAGGCTTTTGTGCATTTGCCGTACGTTGTAACTCTTCTCTTTTTGCGGCCTCCGATTTGATCTCTCTCTTGAGTTTGTCGTTCTCAGCCATGAGCTTCTCAATGACCCGACCCGACTTTCCCAAGTTCGCATTCCCGAGGCCTGTGCCGCCTACCCATGGTGTGCTGTCCGAGAGGATTGGCGAGCTCTCCACTAGAGTTGTCGTGGTACTCATATCGGTGTGTGATGGGTTTGGTGACAATAATCGTTCTTGTCCACTTTCGCGAGTGTTTGTTGATGGCGGAGGTTCGGCTGTTCGCGGTGATGACGGACCGACGTCGAGTTCCGGAGCTGGTCGGAGGGATGCAGAGTCGGTAGAGGAGATTGTGTCAAAGAGAGCAAAGTTGGGCATGTTCAATTGAGGGGGTGTTGAAAATTGACCATCTGGACGTGTAAAATGAGCGATGAACGTTGTTGCGGCAGTGACGGAGACGAAAACAAAGGACCCTGCATTTTGGAGCTGCGAGCAATCGCCAGAACAGCGCCAACTGGAACGTGCTTACCGCCAATAATCTCTCTCTCCTCCTCGACACTCTCGGATGCCTTGCGGCCCACATGTTTGAACCGTTGCGATAGATCTCGGAGTGTGTTGAGAGATGATTTTCTTCGTCCGAGTCCGGGTTTCTGCGTGTGTTCATCGGCCATGCTCCTGCTCGTGTCCTGCAGCGACAAAGGTCGGTGTCAATGGGTCCGTGTGCACGGAAGAGCAGCAAGGCGGCGCAAACGGTTCCTGTGCTTCCTGCGGTACTTGTGGAGCAAAGCCAAAACCATCGCGCGCGAAAGTGTGGGATGGCCGCAGACCTTATGCACGTCGCCGAGTGCCCATCTTAAAAGTCTAAATTAAAAAGGACATTGCGCCGGCACGTAAGAGATACAGTACGTTAGGCTTCAACGGCCTTAAGGTACGACGCTCAAAAACAAGATACACGCGTTCAGCTGTAAACCACTCCCCTTGTCCCAGCACCGCCCCTCGTACGACTGTGTATAGCAGCAATCTTAGCGGGCCGTTGTCTCAATCGATACAAGGTCAGAAAAAAAAGTCATGGGTTTCGTGTTCGTTGTGCTTGAGCATGCTGCTGTTTCGATAGGTTTTGTGTTATATATGTTCTCGATTCTCCCAATCTTCCCAGCAAGCGTGATCTGTCAAGCTTTGGTGCAATGTAAGCTACGTCTGCATGGTAAAATGCAGGTAATGATGGGAGCAAGATTAGACAGGGGCTTTGAGACGCATCGAGCTACGTTGTCACGGTCTCTTGGAGTTTCTGGAAGGCCTCTGGTCGGAATCTGGGCATGATCTTCGTTATTTGCGGTCGCGACTCATCGTCTGTGTGTGTTTCGTTAGTGACTGTGAATGAGAGGGCGCTCGCGTGTACATACAGTTTTTGTAGAGATCTTCTAGAGCATCGAGAGCCATCTCTCGTGCTGGAGGTCGAAGAAGTACCAAGTAATATAGAGCTTGCACCGCTAATTGCACTCTCTCAGGATCCTTCGCAAGCCTGACAACCCGCTTGAGAACATCTTGATTGATGCTGGGAATTTCTGAGAGAAATCTGATGAGAAGCTTGTCCTTAGCGTCCAGGAAAGGTACGATGCCATCAAGAATCTTGAGCATCCATTTGTCGTAATGCTCTGGGATGTATTCCGCCTCCTCATTCTGCTGCTTCTGTATGCGATCGTTGTACCACTCCTCATTGAGCCAGGAAATACCAATGTCGATACGCTTTCTAAAGTCATTAACAACGTACAGGTATAATGTATCTCGTATGGCATCATTCAATGAGAAGCTGCCTGTCGACAAGCTTCCGTTTTCGAGTTTGAGTTTGCTTTCATCCAGCCCGGCAGGAGCACGAGTGGCAAGACGAGTGATGAGAGTGATCAAACCATCTCGGTCGTGAGTTGTTGCGGCGAGACGATTGAACCCTGGCCTCTGTGCTTTGCTTGGTGCAATTGACTCCATTGCAGACAGTGTGCTGAAAACGCGGTCGACTGCTCCTTTGCTGTACTCTACAGTCTGTTCCGCAGTCAGTGGTGGTGGTGGAGGTAGATTGAATGGTCCCAAAGACACAGGAGCCTGGTCGTCTTCAGGTGGAGCTTGGTCGAGGGTGTTCATGACTTGATCAGTGCTCTCGACACCAGGCTCATAGTCCTCGTCTTCATCCGCCTGAACAGGGCCAGTACCCGTCACGGCTCGAGCAACGCTTGAAGCAGTGGCAGGTCTCGCAGCCAACGACAAGTACCTCGCTTGAACAGCATTGATAGCAGCATCCATCTTGACTTTGTCTATCGACTTCAGCAAGGGTGCCACGATGCTCAAAACAACATTGGAAGGAATCACATTCACGTCAAAGCTTCTCAGACCTTGATCATGCGTAAGGGTGAATAGTTGGGCAAGACTAACAAGCCCCTGCGGTAACGGTGGGATTTGGGAGGTCGGAGGAGCGGGCTGCGGCATCTGTGCATTTAGACGCTGTCGCTTTGCATCGGAGAGGCCATCCGTTGGTTCAGTAGGTGCTGCTCTCTTGCGACTTGACTCGTCAAACACTTCTATGAGCGTGTGCCTAAGTCTTTCGATGCATTGTTGGATGCGACCAGCAAGAGGGTGATTGGGGTTCTTCTTGATAATGTTCAACAGGAAGGCCGTTGTTGTGCGTGTCATGGATCTGATCATAACCTTGTGAGTCGGAGAGACAGGAGACGAGGTGGCGAGTTTGAAGGGATTGTAGTTGAGGACGGTTGAGATGATCTTGTTGGCGACAGAAGGGCGGGTCTTGACCAGAGATCCAAGACTGTTCAAGGTAGCGGTCACAAGCAGGGCATCGGTGCTGTTGTCCTGCAATACACCCAGCAACCTGTCGAGCAAGCCCAAAGCTTCGGCTTCCAAGGTCGAGGGAGTCACGATGGGGTGATCGCGAGGGACTAGCGCAAGAGAGATTTCATTCTGTTCAGGACGCCTTGGATCAGCGATCAAGCCAGGGGTCTGGACCTGAACGACTCTCTGGATGAATTTGACCGAGCAGATGTGGATACCAGGAGGAGCGTTGTGCATTCTACGCAGGATGCTCGACTTGACGGCGGCCATCTTCTGCCAGGGAGAGGCATCTTGTGGATTCGTTACGATCTGGCGGAAGACAAAAGGGTAGATGCTCGCAGCGGTTTGGACGACGCTCTTGATGACGGCAGTATCTTCGTTTGGTCGTTCGAGGAAGGCTTTGAGTGTGTCTAGGACTTGTAGAGCCAGAGTCTGCTTATGTTCCTGGGCAAGGACGGGAGATGCAAAGGTTTCGGCGAAGAAGTCGGCACCCCATCTTCTCAGCTCGAGTATGGCGTCGGCACCCACGATTCTAAGCAGGCCAGGAACGACTTGAGGGTAGAGAGCGGGATCGGCGAGAGCAAGATTCCGAGCAGCATTGAGCTGCTTGATTGTGTCGGCGACATTGCCATGTGCAGCCATTATGGGCGACGAGACGAAGGACGCGCCGAAGACGTCACGCAGATGCAGACCAGGTGGGATGTGGGATGTGGGATTTAGCTCGCTGACTGCTATGCTATTGCGACATGGAGGCACAAGTCACAAGCGAAGCTGCTTTCACCCTTCTCTGCCGAAGTGTGATGGTGAGCCTTTGCGATCGACAGTCAAACAATGGCGTGGTGAATAGGGTAGGTGCAATGCGACGTGAATGGGAACTGCTCTCTCTCGAGTTGACGCAGTTGACGCGCGGGAAAGCAGCAACGACGGACGGTCGACGCTCGCCGGCCGCGCCTTCTTGGCACAAGCCGGTCGAGAACATGTGAATTGTACCTTCCCATCCAGTGTAGAACTATTTCACCACTCCGCCCAGAATGCCTATTGGAAAGTACGTTCATTCAAGAGCACATCAGAGACGACCGTCCAGTTGACGCCGTCGCAGAATTCCCCAATCGTCGTACTACGACAAGTACAACCGGCCCACCGCCGCCCTCTACCGTGCTCGTCAACCGTACATTGTCAAGAATGCCCTGACTGGCCTGGCTATCTTTGGCTTTGCCATTGGTGTTTGTGCGTCGCATCCGTCTCCTTGCCTCCAGCCGATCATAGCGACTGACCTGCTACTTCAGACTCCTTCACCATTCGCGCCGTCGCCCAGGATGAATTCGAAGATGTCGTTGTCCCTGATGCGCCCGCCACTCCTGCTCACGCCCCTCACACTAGCAATGTGAGGCAGGTTGCTTCCAAGTAGAGACACTCCCAAGAACGTCTAATATCTGTATCACCACATGTACATTCAATCCGGCATGGTCGGGGCGCACCGGCGTTATGGGAAGCTTGTCTTGAAAGACAGCAGCACTTTTGTTCACACGAGCCACGAATCAAAAAGAGTTACAAAGGAAAACATGAATTCGCTATTGGCGTGGTATATCTACATCAACACAGTCTGGGCGCCAGTGGGAAGGTCGCCCTTGAAAGGGTGCTCGCTGGGCACAGCGTTGTCCTTGATCTGTTGGAGCTTCTTGGCGTTGGCCTCGTAGGATTCCTTCTCGAACTTTGCGATGACCTGTGACATGTCGGCGTAGTGGCCGGCGGGCACGTTGTGAGGCGCTCCAGTGTTGAGAATCCTGTCAAAACTTCGTTAGCCTTCCGATTATTCTCACACGTCTGTAATATCTCTGTTCCCAAATGCTTCTTTCCTTCTCTTTCTCTTCCTCTTTCTCTTGCTATAGAGGCCGGTTGTACTTCCTGGGGATGTGCTTGGGAATAATCCAAGGGTGGTCAGACGTACTCGGGGAACTTCAGCTGGACGTTCTGTTGGCGCTGAGAATTGGCGAACAGGTTACGGTCGGCGGCGGCCTGCTCAAGAGCATCCGTGTGGAGAGCGGCGATGTGAGCTGCGTCCTTGCGGTATCCGTCGTAGCTGTTAATGACGCGGGTCAAGTACTTGTGCTCGTAGTTGCCAGGGCCAGTGAACTTGTACAAGAGGAAGCCGATGGGAACGATGGAGAGGGCCAGGAAGAATCCGGTCTGTCTCCTCCGTCAGTGTATGCTCTCGTCTCATCTGTCCGTGTCGCGTACTCCGAGCTTCTCCTCTTCCGGGTACTTGATGCTGCCGGCGGCTGGGGCTTCGTGGTGGGCGTAGCGTTTTGTTTGCTGGCGGGAGACTGCGCGCGCAGTTTGCGCAGCAGTAGCTGCGCTTCTTCTGAAGGCCTGCATGGTGTGTAGTAGGAGCAATTGCAATCGGACCGCTATTGAATCGTCCTCTTGCTCCAAGAGTGATGTCGAATCGTCCTTGGCGCTGTTTGCGGCCCGAGCGCACCCAATCAGAAGCACTTTGTATACAAATGAAGCTTTAACAGGTGAACATCCTTTTTCGAACAGATGCATTGTACGGTGAGCAATCTGTAAAAACTCGTAGACAAGGTCATGTAAGTGACTTCTAGTGCAAATATCATCTCTCTGGCACGAACAACCAAGAATCTCCACAACACTTTTGTGGACTCGATTAAATAGCTAGACACTGAATATCAATCGTCAGACGACTGAATAGCTGTATTATGAGGCGGTATCTTCTAGGACAGCTCAAAGGGAAGTACGTGAGGTTCAGACGGTACTTCCAACTGTTTTGACTGAGCTTGTTATGTGTTTGAGACGAAAATGATTCAGTCAGAATAATTTCTGTTTGATTGAGTTCGACCAAGCTATCTTGTCAGTCTTTCTGCAAAATCACGCGTGGCTGAGATACCGTGCAGTCGCGAAGGGCCGCTCCATGGCGATGAAAGCAATAAAGCAGCCCTCAACACTGAACCTTCATGTCCGTTCCAGGGGTAGCTCCTCAACAGCCTGTAGCGAACTCGTGCTTTAAGCATCGTAGGTATTGCGCGTCCCGATTGGCTTGCTTGTGCCTGCGCCTGTGCCTGTATCTTTTTGTTTTTGTGCCAAATCCGAACTCCACGCTTCGAAGAAAAAGATTGCACTATGCATGTCCAACGCCGATAAGATGCACGTGTCCTAGCAAACTCCGTCCTGATCAGCTTCCACTGTTTTGGATCATGCGCCGGATCATAACGTGTCGATGGACGCGCTGAAATGTTAGAGAAGTAATAGAGGGCCGTCGCTCATTGCACAAAGTTCCTCAGCTTCATCATCTCGTCGAGCAGCTCCTGCAGTTCGTCGTCGGAAATCTTGCCTTCGAGCGAGGGTACAAGGGTCTTTGCTTCCTCAGCGGTATCCGGGCACAGACTTCCTTTGAAGAAGGTCAGTAGATGAACGTGTACTACAGCAGTCAAGTAAACTCACCGAGCTGGCTGCGCTCGAAGCGCTCGAGCTCGGTGCGAGTTGTGAGCAACTGCTCAACGGCAGTGACGTGTTCCTGCTGTTTGAAGCGCGCGAACAACTCGAGATATTCCTGAGTCTTGAGAAGAGTCTCGGATTCGGTGACCTTCTGCTTGATGTTGCGCCTGCGCGTCGTGACGGCGTTGATGATGGTACGCGCTTCGGACAAGTTCAAAGCAGGCACTTGCTGGAACTCTCCGAGACGCAGAATCGCCGTGGCCTCTTCGTCTCCAGTGGGGGCTCTCTTTGGGCGCGAGATCATGTGAGGTGCAGGAGCGGGTCCGTTGGGGTTGGCCATTTTGTCTGGAGCGATTGGCGCGAGAGAGAACACTCGATGGGCGGAGAGCGACTGGACGTAGAGATGGGATGACCGGCGACAATGGTATGCGCGACAGCTGGATAGCTTTCGGTTGTTGATCTGGAGTTTGGAAGTTCGGCCAGCGACGAGGCTTGGCACATTTCACATGTTTTGTACCGAGTGAATCTTGCGCGCTCCAAGTTTCGTCTCCTCCAAGCACTCATCAGCATGACCACTGGACTGCAATTCGTATCAGATCTACATCTGGAACGTAATAAGGGCTACACGTATAACATACCTCGATCCGCATCGCATCTGGCGCTGGTCGGTGACATCGGACGTTTCTGCGATTACGACGATTACGCTGCTTTCTTAAGAACACAGTGCCAGATTTTTGATCAGGTACTTTTGGTGGCAGGGAACAACGAGTTCTATGGCTCGTCACGGCAAGAGGGACTGGATGCTGCGCAGAGACTAGAACAAGATCCGAGTTTACTAGGAAAGCTGGTGTTCTTGAGCCGAAACAGAATCGACCTTCCAGGCTCCAACATTATCGTGCTAGGATGTACATTACATTCACGTATTCAGCAAGGACATACTCGTCTCAACAAGGACTTTCAGAGTATCAGAGACTGGACCACTGAGGATCATAACAGGGAACATGAATTGGACCTTGAATGGTTGCGTTCAACCCTTCGCCACATTGCTGAGGCCGAACCGCTGAAGCAAGTCATAATACTCACCCATCATGCGCCGTCGTTCAAAAACACTTGTCACCCGTCCCACGAATACAACGCTGTAAGTCAGTGCTTTTGCAGCAATACACTGGAAGAGTTTGAAACATGGGAAGGCCAAGGGCAAGTAAGCGATTGGATATTTGGCCATACGCATTGGAATGCTCGTTTCATGTGCGGAAACACAGTTGTACGGAGCAATTGTCTACCCAATCGACCTCGTGATCTTAGTATGTGGCAGACGCTCATGCTGTACAGACCATTTGATCCACGCGCAGTCATCAAAATTGGTCCAATACAGTCCTGGAGCAATTGGTTATTTGGCTCATAGCGACCAAACATTGAAATCTATATCTCTGCAGCCTCGACATCTTGCTCGTCTGCAAACAGGATGAGATTGAACACTTCTGCCAAATACTGTGACCGTGTCGAGCATCATGTGGAGCGGCGAAAGGGCAAGCTTGCACATGGCATACAAGCGGAGTTTCTACTCCGGATGAATTGTCGCTGCCTGCCTAAGATTTTGCTATGCGTGTAGCTGTATCAGGGCACAGGGCTTTCTCTGATTGAGTGATGCCGGATTGGTCAAGTATCTGCGCATACTTGAACAATCGTGTCTCCTCTTGTTTGTTTTCGCTCTCTATTGATTGTTATGCAGGAGAGTCGAAATGACGGAATTTAAGCACCGGGGAGATGACAGGCAGGGAAAGTACGGGGATTCGGGGATTTCGGCGCCTTCCCAAAACAAATGCCAATTGTGTGGTGTAACATGCTCAACAAGCAACTCAAGCATTCAACGACAGAGAACAAAGCCCAAGCGAGAACAGGTGATGGCTATTTCAGCGCTTAAAACCCACATCAGACTAATTTAGGAATTTGCATTACCGGAGCCGTCGAGTTTAGGTGCCTGGATCTAGTGATATCTGGATTCCTTGACTCTGGAATCCTCAGCGGGCGTTTACGCGAGTCACGACTGCTTGTTGTCCTTGGCGGCTGGGGGTTGCTTTCGAGCATTATTCCACCTTGAAGCACGTCGAAGCAAGCGTGTCCACCTACATCAACTCTGCTCTGCCGGCTGCTCCACGCAGGCATCTTCTATTCCGACTCCTGGAGCAACGTCCCATGCGGTCGCTATTCAGTAAAAACACGAGCAGGCGCTGCGTCCGCCCAGACTAAACACACAATCGCCGCCGCCTCCTGACTGTCCGTATCTGGCTGTCCTTGTTTTGATGCCACCCTATTGAACGAACACTATCCCGCTCGACGCCTCTATTCGACAAAGTAGCCACTGCTACCTCACGCTCGCTTTATTCTCCTCTGTCCGATTCCTCTCCTAATACACCATGGGTCTACCGACCGACCCCTCCACCCAGCACGACGCTGATGATCATCCCTATCCTTCCGACATCGCACTTCCACCTTCTCGCACCAACACCTTCGAGTCTCCTGCCGACTCGCCTTCGCGCCCTTCCACAGATGCCGAATCTCAGCTTGAATTGGCGACTCGTCACCGTCCGAAGCGCAGTCTAGACGTCAAGGACGATCGCCCTGTCGACTCTCAAGTCTCCCCTTCACGGGACCGCTCGCGACCCAATGGAAAGCAGTCTAATAGGATATGCGCAAAGTGCGGTGGTCATCTGACAGGCCAATTCGTGCGCGCGCTGGGCGGCACTTATCATCTCGAGTGCTTCACCTGCCATGTCCGTTCAGCCGACACTTTAACTTCTGTATACTTGGCTGACCGCTTATAGGACTGTGGTAAAGTTGTCGCTTCCAAATTCTTCCCTGTACCAGAACAGCCTCCGAACCAGTATCCTCTTTGCGAAACGGATTATTTCCGCCGACTGGACTTGCTTTGCCATGCTTGTGGAGGCGCCCTCCGCGGCTCTTACATCACCGCACTCGATCGCAAATACCATATCGAACACTTCACCTGCTCCGTGTGTCCCACCGTCTTTGGCGCGCAGGACAGCTACTACGAACACGAAGGAAACGTATACTGCCATTATCATTATTCGACGAAATTCGCCCAACGCTGCAATGGCTGTCAAACAGCCATTCTCAAACAGTTTGTCGAAATCTTCCGTAACGGTCAAAACCAGCACTGGCATCCGGAGTGTTACATGATTCACAAGTATTGGAATGTCAGGTTGCATCAAGGCGGCTCTGCGGACGAGCCGTTGGATTCTGAGGAGAATGCAACAGAAGAATTGCGAAAGATGGTCAAAGAAAGCGAAGAGAGTGTCGAAGACAAGGTACTCTGGATCTGGCGCACCCTCTCTTCTTTCGAAGAGAAATCGGCGACATGCATCTCGGATATGTTGTTACATGTCAGCAACGGCGCCTACGTCGACGGAGTCATGACAGCCAAGAGGTTTATAACCCATGTGGATCTTTTGTTTTCTGCAGCAGATCGCCTTGACCAAGTCCTACAGTCTCACACAGCGAAGGGTGCGTATGTTTCATGCCCAGCTTTGTCTGGTTATGCTAATTCGTCCAGGTCTTTCCTACTCGAGAGAAGCCAAACTTCTGTGTAAGAAGGTGGTCGCATTCTTCCAACTACTTGCCGAGTCTCAAGAGACGGGCGTCAGGCGATTGGGTGTTACCCAGGAGCTTTTGTCGCTCGTCACAGGTCTAGCGCATTATCTCAAGCTTCTAATCCGTATCTGCCTTCAGGGCGCTTTGAAGTTGGAACGCGAGACTGGCAGCCACGAAGGCTTGACTAATTTCTTGGATGAGATTGGCGCTCTTGACGACAGACTCGAAGCGGATGAGGAGAGAGATCCGAGAAGCGAAACAGAAAACTTTGTTGCCCGATCCGCTGACAATTGTGCCGTTTGCGACAAGTCTGTTGAAGACAAATGCTTCTCACGCAGAGACAGAAGATTCCACGCCCAATGCCTTACATGCAGCAAGTGTTCGAAACCTCTTGCCGACGACCACGCGGCAGCGAGGTGGGACGAGCCGTCTCAAAAGGTCCTTTGCGATCGCCATGCTGGAAGCTCTACCGAAGGAGACATTGTCTTCATCTCCCGTCTCCAACAATACGTGCATCTCCTTCGGGTTGCGCATGCGAGGTTGCTCGCCACACTGCGCACAAGCGGTGCCCTACCTCATACTTCAGGTTCGTTGAGATAATATCCGCGCTAGATGACATTTTAACTTACAGAGTGCTCAGATGACCCGAATCTTGCAGACTACGACTCCAACCGTGGGCATCGTGTTTCGCCGAAGGGTTCTATGGATCCTCCATTGCTTCGCTCTAACACGAGATCAAAGTCGTACGCAGGCTCAACCAAGCGTGAGCACTCACCATCATATGAACAAACACTTGGAGACATCCGAAGGTTGCGATCTACTCGAATGGAAAAGAATATCTCCACCACGAATCGTAGGGCTCGTACATCCAGGATTATCGATGGACCAGAAGGTATGCACGGAGACTCTGAAGATAGGCTCGAACGCCGTCAGACCGGCAATTTCCAGATTGTGGACGATGGTGAGGCCGGTGGGTCTCGCATGTCGCAGCTTCAGTTTGGCAACCATGAATCCATGACCCTGGATGACATTCCAAGAATTGTCCAGGCACAGCAAACAAGAGAACAGAGGCCCAATGCCTCCAAGTTCCATCGCGGCCCCATGATACCTCAAGAACCAAGACCGAAGCTTGTCAATAACGGCCATACACGACATGTTTCGCTCGGTAATGAAGAGAAGCCAGCTCTCGTGGAAGGTGGAGCTTTCAAGACCAAGAAGTACTTCTCCGAACTTTCAGCTCTCGAGTACTTCATCGTCCGGCATGTTGCCGTGCTGTCAATGGAACCTCTTCTTGAAGGCCACTTCAACCAAGAGGAACTACTTGACCTCATTGAGACGAAGAGACCCACATTTTGGGGCAAGTTCGGCAAGGCCTTTAAGCCCGAGGCTACCAAGAAGCACAAGGGTAACAAGCGAGGAATCTTCGGCGTATCTCTTGAGCAGTTGGTGGAGAAAGACTATGCAGAGTCGACAGACGGCATTGGACCGGGTGCTTTGCGGATACCGGTCCTCATTCAAGACGCCATATCTGCAATGCGGACGATGGACATGTCTGTCGAAGGTGTCTTCCGCAAGAATGGCAACATCAAGAGACTCAACGATGTCAAAGAGGAGATTGACTCGAAGGAGATGGTTGATGTTGATCTCACAAAGGAAAACCCGGTCCAAGTTGCTGCACTGCTCAAAAAGTTCCTCCGAGAACTGCCAGATCCTCTCATGACGTTTAAACTGCATAAGTTGTGGATAACGTCACAAAGTGAGTTAATTGCGTGTCATGATATTACTGAATATTTTGCTAATCACTATACAGGAATATCTGATGAAGAGACGCGACGAAGGGTGCTGCATCTTACATGCTGTCTTCTTCCGAAAGCACACAGAGACACGATGGAAGTATTGTTCAGTTTCATGCAATGGGTATCTTCGTTCTCTCATATCGACGAGGAATCTGGTAGCAAGATGGACGTTCACAACCTCGCTACTGTCATGGCGCCCAATATTCTGCATCTGGGCAAGCGGGACGTTCCTCTGGATGACAACTTGCTTGCTATTGAGGCAGTACACTCGCTCATTGAGTACAACGAGTACATGTGCGAGGTAAGTCTTCATTGCCGAACCCATATCTTGTGCACACGCATCTAACACCCATGATCAGGTACCGGAAGATTTGGCTCTAATTCTCAACGACTCCACTTTGTTCTCTGCCAGCGCTGATATCACAACCAAGGAGATTCTCAAACGATACGGTGACCGTACAAAGGGACCTTCGACGACACAAGGCGATGTAGCGCCACCACCTCAATCCATGACACCCAAGTCTCGTGAGAGCAGGGGCAGCGCGCCTGTCGTTACTCGTGTCGACACAGATGCTGAACAAGCGAACGCATGGGGCAATGAAGCCAGCGTCCGTCATGTCGCAGCAGACCTGCCACCACAGCCACCTTTCGCAATGCACTCAAACAAGTCATCAGAGAGCCAGGGCAGTCCTACCAGGAACGGCAATCGCAACAGCGGATTTACTCCAAGACCCATGGCAACATAGACCAAAACTCCGCCTCCACAAAGAGCAGCATCAAACATGGTGTTCACTGTTTGGTCGACTTCGCACTAGATTCGCTAGGTGTGATGAGTACCTGTGCAGGATTGACTGACCGTTTTCCTTTTCTTATTCTCTTCTTCTCCACCACCTTTTACCACATTTGTCTCGACAAAAATCTTTTCTTGTACTCGTTGTCATTTCTAACCCCTTCGTCTCATCCCGTCATCCGTTTTGAGTATGCGCTTTCTTCATCATCCATCATCGTCATGGCCGCTTTCTTGGGGGCACAGATTGGTAGTCTTACAGTTGTTGTTTTTCTTCTTTCTTCGAATTGAAAGATAGGCATTGGTCGTCAGAATGGGCCCGCAGTCGGGTTTTAGCGAAATGCATCCTCATCTATGATTGAGCAACTTCGGTTTTTGATCCTGCTCTTTTGACTGCATGCATACTCGTTGTGAAGCCATGTGTGGCATAGACTGCTTTTCTAATTCATGTAAGCTGTACATATACGCTTGATCTGAAGCCAGCTGAATCTGTCAATCTGATTCGAAGCATTGTTGAGCCATCTAACTGTGGTTGCTCGGGATACCCTGTCGAGGCTGCTAGCGTGGTCGATGAATGACTAGGCAAGTGCTTTTCCTGCATGTTTTCACAGATTTAGTGATATAACACAAGTCTGAGGTCATCATCATGTGCTAAGCAAACATGTGGTAGTGGACAAGTAGGTCAACAGGCAATACCGTGGACGGTGGAGGAAGCCCGAGTTCGGAGGCTGACAAACACGTCGGCCGATGGCGTCAGATTCAAGGACCATCACTTTTCCACCAGAGCATTGTAGACACCCCACCTTGAACCCAAGCCTTCGCAAGTCAAGGCGACAAGAATAGAAAATCAACATGTCAGCACCACGAGCAGTCAGGCAGCTTGCCAATGGCCTTTTCCGCCGAACAAACCCCAGGACACGCTTCCTCCCCGCTCAGCGCAGCATACACAGCACGAGCAGATTGCCCTCGCAAGTAGCCGCCGGTCAACCGATTGTCGAGGCAGAAAGACCTACCGAGGTACCTGCTGTGAATCCACCACTTAGTTTCCCTTGTCTGGATGCTCTGGACAAGAAGACACAGACGTTGACCAAGAAGCGATCGCTATCTGGGCCCGAGCCGTCGTATGCGCCAGGTGCCACCGAGACTTTCCACTGTCCTTCGCCTCTTCTCCTCGACTGGGGTGGTGTATTGCCGTCTTTTGATATCGCCTATGAGTCTTGGGGTACTCTCAATGCTGACAAGAGTAATGCGATCCTCCTACACACCGGCTTGAGTGCCAGCAGTCACGCAAAGAGCACGCCAGCCAATTCAAAAGCCGGCTGGTGGGAAAAGTTCATTGGCCCCGGTGCGCCCATCGACACGGACAAGTACTTTGTAATCTGCACAAATGTACTGGGAGGTTGCTATGGCAGTACTGGACCTAGCTCCAAGGACCCTTTGGCCAATGATCAACCCTATGCTACCCGCTTCCCTATCCTTACCATGCAGGATATGGTGCGCGCACAGTTCCGTCTTTTGGATTGGATGGGCATTGAGAAGTTGTATGCTTCTGTGGGCTCTAGTATGGGCGGTATGCAGAGTCTTGCCGCGTCAGTCTTGCATCCAGAGCGTGTGGGTAAACTCGTCAGTATCTCCGGCTGTGCGAGAAGTCATCCTTACAGTGTAGCCATGCGTCACACTCAACGTCAAGGTTTGTCTACAGTCTCTGCTTTACCCCTTCCAAAGAGGACCATCACTAACTCTTCCACCACACAGTCCTCATGAACGATCCCGCCTGGTCCTCAACACGCGGAAACTACTACTCCGCCATCCCACCCCACGCCGGCATGAAACTCGCCCGAGAAATCGCAACCGTAACCTACCGCAGCGGACCGGAATGGGAATTACGCTTCGGCCGCCGTCGCGCCGACCCTTCCAAACCCCCCGCCCTCTGTCCAGATTTCCTCATCGAAACCTATCTGGATCATGCGGGTGAAAAGTGGTGTTTGGAGTATGATGCCAATAGTTTGCTATATGTCAGTAAAGCCATGGATCTTTTTGATTTGGGAAAGGAGCATATGGATATGCTGGAGGGTGTGAGGAAGAGCAATGAGCATAAACTTGAGCAATTCGGTGCTGGGAAACCCACGCCCAAGCCGGAAGTTGGAGGTGCGGATTTGTGTAATCTGACACTGCCGGATACACCTTACGAAGAGCAAGAGTCGACAGCGGAAATCATGAACAAGGATACAGAGATCAAGGCTGCGGCACAGGATAACGAGCCCCCTGCTGATTTGGTAAAGGGTATGCAAGGGTTGAGAGATATTCCTGCTTTGGTGCTTGGAGTGGCTTCGGATATCTTGTTTCCTGCTTGGCAGCAGAGGGAGATTGCTGCTGCGTTGAGGAAAGTTGGAAATAGAAAAGTTACGCATGTGGAGTTGGGAGAGGATAGGAGTTTGTTTGGGCATGACACTTTCTTGCTTGATCTTGAGGGCGTGGGTGGTGAGTTGAAGAGGTTTTTGGGTTAGGATGGAGGTTGCGGATGAGAGGAAGGATCTGTATCATATCAGCAAAAATGCATAGCGAATTTGGTCTTTTCAGTATCATGAGCCAATGGCCTTGGAATGTGATCAGTGAACGGGCTTCTAGTGTTGCTTCTGAGGCTGCGTTATATGTATGCATGATATATGTCTTTCGTTTCATGATCTGTGGTGTCGTAGTTTTGAGCAGTCCTTCTAGACATCTTCAAACTCCATGTCGTCTTCATCAGACTCTGCATTAGCATCTGCAGGAGGCGGGATACTGGCCAATGGCTTCGCATCAGCCTCTTCCTCCGTCTTGACGCGTTTAGCATCTGGACCTTCAGCCTCTTCGACCTTGATGTCTGGCACAGTGACCGCAGCAGGCACGTCTTCGAATTCGTCCTCTTCCTCGTCTTCTTCCTCTTCTTCTTGTATCCGTGCTCTTTCTTGCTCTGCGCGGTAGGCTGCCCAGTAGTCGTCCATGACCGCATCGTCTCTGCCAGGTGTCCCTCCCATCTTCTTCTCGTCTGCCGCATCGTCCACAGAAAGCCCTCCGGCATGTGCCTCCCTCTCCCTCTGCTCTCTCAACTCCTTTGCACCCGCCGTCGTCACATCGCCCGAAACCGTAGACTTCGTAAGCCATTCCGGCAGAGCATTCTGCTTGGCCTCCTTCTCCCGCTTGATCCTCGCAGCTTCCGGATCCGGCTTTGTGGTAATGTCTTCTTCCAATTGCACTTTTACCGTCTCTGGGGCGAGGGCAAGACCCTTCGATCCTGCAATGCTGGGCTTGACTTCTTCCGGTATCATTCTCGGACGGTCTGGATGCGCGTCTCCACGGTTAATGGGCAAATGCATAGACAAGGCCGTGTCGAAATCATTTTCCGGCACATTTGCCTGATCGATTTCGCGGAGCAGAGCTTCAATAGCAGCCACTTGTGTATTGAGTCTCATCTTACTCTCATTCTCCCCCTTTTGCAGTTCCTCATCCACAGGATCCAGAGGGTGTTCGCAGAGATGACACAGAAAGCTTCCACTGATGGGATCAATGTTGTCCATGACTTCTAGATCCGTATACTGGCTTTTACACCTCGGACACTCCAAGTCCTTCTTCTCGGTGGTCGGCGCCCCCATACTGTCAATATGCCTACTCAACCTACTCAAGCGATACTTGATGGCATCAATCGCCGGATGAAAGTGCAACCAATACCAATCCTGATGCTTCACATAATCCCTATTCTTGAAATTCGGATTCGTGCTCGGAGGCGGCGCATCTTCCTTTTTTTCAGCGCGGGATTGTACAGTGACCAGGCCGTGGTCTTTGAGCTTTCCGCATTGTTTCCGTAGTTCTTTGCGGTTTGTGCCGAGGCAGTGGGCGAGGTCTGCGTCGGTGAGGGTGCTGTGGATGCCGAGGGCGTCGATTATTAGCACTTCTTCGGTTGTGTAGAAGGCGCGTGCTGTGGTGCGAAGGAGGTTTTTGGCGAGATCCATGGTTGAGGTGTTGATGGTGTGTCTGTGGCCTGACAGGTGGGAGGACGGGTGCCCTGTGGGCTTTGGAGTCGGAGTGATTTGCTGTCTATTCACTGAGTGCGCATAAAGGTCGTAGGTGGTCTGAGGTGGGTGATCGCGGGTGGAGAATGTAAAGTCGTGTGAATTGTATGAGTGACGAAGGTCAACTTCTTTGTCGAAGCTCCGGGAATGTCAATGCAGATCACTTGGAGCTCCGGACGACGCGACAAAGGGTAGCGCTGAGCATTATATACGAACAAAATGAGTAATGTTCTCATGAAATAACCATAAAGTCGCAGTGGTTTAGTGGTAAAATTCGTGCTTGCCATGCACGAGCCCCGTGTTCGATTCACGGCTGCGACATCCCTTTTGGCTCCTGCTTCCATGTCCACAAACATGGAGACAGCTACGATCGTTTTTGCTTGTTGAAGCCGAGACTCGGAAAATCGCTTTTTCTTTGTCTCGTCTCTCGTCTCCAATCAGCCGACCGCCTCAGAATATGACCATCAGTTGTTCCTCTCATGGTGGTAGAACTTCAACAAAAATGCTCTTAGTATGACGGATATGCCATGTGGATCGTTCATTTCGATGCAAACAAACTCTTGACTCGAGATATCACAAAGCAGCATATCCCTTATCCACATCCTCTGCTTTGACATCCTCCTTCCCAGCCCCCACCTCCCCCTTCTTCTCACCCCAAATCACCATCTTTTTAGCCTTCCCATCCCATTTCATAACATCCCCATCCCCAACATTATACCGATAATAATTCTCCGTCCCTCCCACCACCATAGCCCTTCTGAATGTGATATTAATCCTCCCATTCCCGCTCTCCCCTCCTTTTCTCTTGGGAATGCTATGCAGCCATTTACTCTGCGTGCTTCCTCTCATCAACACCATATCCCCACTCCCCAGAGGAAGTTTCAGAGGTTTAGTCTCGGAAGCTATAGCAGCAGCGCTTTTGGTGTCGGAAGGTGGAGTAGGTTTATGTTTCATCAGAAAATCCCTCTTGGCTCCAAGACTAAACGACGCGATTGCAGGATCCACACCAAGAAATCTTTCATCGTCGCTATGGTAGGATATACTGTCGTCGCCTGTAGCGTAGTAGTTTACGAGACAGAAGTTGTATTTTTGATCTGTTGCCGCTTCTGTGAGTTTGCGTAGGAGATCCAGACAAAAGGGTATAGGTCGCGGTTTGCAAGTCTTGTATTTGTCCTTTGGGATGGGCTTTTGTGTAGCGGCATCCAAGAGTGAGCCGTCAGACGAAAATTTACAAGTCTCATCTACACCAAATACAGTGGTGAAGCGAGGTGTATTGATATCCGTCTCAACAGGGCCCCTCTTGATCTTATACTTGACCCTGTAAAAGAACAATTCTCCACGAAGAAACTCAAACAGAGGCGTTGAAATCGATCCGGGTATATAGGGTTGAAAGTACAAGAGATCCAGATCCGGTTGATCATTTATGATTTTGCCTTCTGCTTCTGGGGCGAAATTCAAGAGGTCGCTGATTTCTGGTGGCAATTGTGCTATCGCAAAGGGATATGTCGTGTGTTTTGACGGCGCATCTTTAGATTCCGTGAGTGAGATCCTGACCTTCTTCTGAGTAGGATTAAAGAAAGTGTCCAGTGTTCTTTTCGACATTTTAATTCTTGTAATTGGTGGTGAGAACAAGTAGAGAGTCTGAGTGCTCAGGAAGACGCGACGTGGACGCGCCAGCATTTCTATGACGTAGATGGACAAAGATACGACACCACCTCCTTACAAACAATGAACATTCGGAAGCCTGAGAAAGTATAAGTCGGTGTCAAAAGGAGGAAGAGATATTAGAAAAGAACCAAAGTGGTTGTGAAATTCGCAGTCGGGGGTATCTACACGCTTTCTCCCATTTCCTGCCCTGACGCCATGTCAAGCAAAATGATGCTCGACTCCGAAAAACAACCATGAGTTTGATGCGCCAAAACCTAAGTATTACTGCAATGCGCCATGCCCCGTCGTTAATGCCGTAAATTCAAGTCACACATCCTGGGAGAATGTATCTGAGCTCTGCTCCTGCGAGCGTATCGTTTGCACGGCTCGTTCGACTTCAGCAGAAGCCACTTCTTGCCACTTGTCACGACCGTCCTGGTCAGCCAGACCTTCAGCATCGCCGACTTTATCGTAGAGCATGCGAGACACATCGCGGTTAATATCGGTGTACTGGTCTTTGTTGATCTCGCCTCCGCGATAGCGAGGGCCTAGGACGGCTTTCACCATCCTCTGAATCTCGGTTTTGGTCGAGTACGACATGTTTCGGGAAGGCGAGCCAGGAGAAATATCTCTCGGAGGACTGCTGACTTGATGTTGGGGGCGTCGATGTGATCTGCCCCGCTCATCTTTACCATTCATGCCGGGCGAGAAAGCAGGTGAAGTTAGAGGTCTGACAATAGATGTGAGGGGCATTGGTGAAGTCGGTCTAGGACGTGCGGATTGAGGTGGAGGTGTCACAGACAACGCGCGAGGGGAGACTTGGCCAGAGTGGATAGGCGATGCGCCAGGAGATGCCAGATTGGTCGGTCCGGGCTGCTCATCACCAGACATGTCTGCATCTGGTGAGCCTGCTTCCTCTGGTGCTGGTTGTTTTTCCACCTCTTGAAGGAGCTGAGTTAGGAAACTCGGTCCGTCGACGGGCTTCTGTGCTGGTACTGGGCGTACTGGGACTTCGACGGTCGATGGGCCTGGATCTCCAGCTGTCGTGATGGTCATGTTTCTCTTTGTTCTGGGGCGTTTGAGTTTGCGTTGAGGCTCGGCTTGCTCATGCCCTGCTGCTGGGTTATCTCTGGGAGAAGCAGGAGAAGCCGTTGGGGTTTTGCGTTTCCTGCTGGGAGGGGCCTGTGCCTCAGGGTCGAGAGCGCGGGCTTTGTCGAGGGCGTTCCATGCGCGAAGTTCCTCTTGCGACTCTGGCGAAGCAAGGGTCCTTCGGTCCAGCAGGGTCGGGGCAGTCTCTCTGAAGCGGTTTGCACCACCTTGACGACTTGCGACTTGAAGTCTACGATTCCATGCTGCAAGCTCTCGCCGTTGAGCTGGTGTACGGTGGATGGTATGCGTGTCTTCGTCGACGGAAGGGAAATCCAGGTCTAGATTCAGTCGGCGCCAAACGCTTGCCCATACTCTGTCCCACTCTTGTGTGCCAGGTCGTCTAGATCCTCTTCTCGGTCTTGCACTTCTTACTTGTGGGAGGGCCTCTCGGCCGTTGTCGTTGTATTCGAGAAGGCAAGGCTCACAGTACCAGATATCCGGAGCAGTGGAATCACTAAAGCCAGCGCAGAAGATGTGAACCGTGGCGACGCAGCCATCGCAGTACATTGTTTGATGAGTGTGGTCAATGCGACCGCAGACGAGACATGGAGCGTCTTCTTCGAGATCATCGTCGATGGTCAGGGTCGGGTCGATGTCAGCCCGCTGTTGTTTTTCCTCGACAAGGTATGAAGCATGTGCTGGGCCATCGAGGAAGTTGCGCAGCTCGACGACATTGAAGCTTGCACGACAAATAGGACAGCTATTGGCTCGTTCAACCCAAGGCCGCAAGCATGAATCGTGAAGGTTGTGTCCGCAAGGCAGGAGATGGGCGACAGTTTCGTCGTCTATCGCGTTCTTGCTGTATAGGATGTCAGTACGAGTTTTGTGGAGAGGATTCGATAATTCCCCCAGGAGGTCTTCGAAGGTGGGGGAGACGTCACCATCCAAGCTTATCCGGCGGCACATGAAAGTGTAGTCAAGCCGATCAAAGCGATCAAGGAATCGACGGGACCGATGAAGAAGCTCCGGGGGGGTTAGAGACATCGCTGTGGACGGGATCTGAGTACCTTTGTTCAGAGGAAAGCACGGGAAGCGGCGTGATGATGTCGGTACCAACGGGCTTGATATCTGTCTCGGCGTCTTCAGGGCGAAGGCGAAAGTCGCCCAAGCAGACGATGCACACGTCTGCCATTATCACGGGACCCGAAGCAGAGTATTGTCGAGTTGAAAGAACATACGAGGTTGAGTGAGGCAAAGAAGGAAGGAAGGGGCGAGGTTTATATACTGAGGTATGCGGATTGCGGAGTGAGGGCGGCGTTGGCTGCTGTCTTCACGTGTGACGATTGACTGGGCGTTTGGTCAATCCGCCAAAATGGACACAAAACGCTCCAAGTGACTCAACTACATACAGGCCCTGGAATATGGATAAAGGCTAACGATAGACTGGCCGCTTTCAGTTTGGTTGTGGTGCGGAACAAAGAAATTCACTAGGAGCGACTACAAACAATGGCCGAGGAACGCAGCCCGGGGCTTTCATCACCCAAGAACGGGTTGCGCAGCGGTGCGATACTCGACAAATTTATCTTGACAGTCGTGACAGGTTTTGGTGGTTTACTGTTGACGGTTTACTGCGAGCGGAGGAATTTATAGACCAGTGGGGGACTTCAGATGGATTCAAGATTGGCAAAGTGTCTTTGGGCAGGATGACTGAGTTTCATTTGATCGTTCCCAGTATCCCAGCATGTCGAAGAAGCCAGCGTGGATGGGTATTTCCTTCTTAGCTACATCATCCCTTCGTCAAAAAGTCCTTGCTGATTTTTTTACGCCGCGATTGCCCAATGGAAAAAGAACCTCGAGAACGAGAAAACCGTGCATGAACCGAGCATGAATTGATTGCTGTTTTACTTGATGGTCGTTGTTTAAACCTCAGCAATCTCGCGCAGACGACGGATGGTCGAGCGGGTGGCAGCGGCGGCAGGGGTGCTGTGAAGAGCCTTGTGTTAGTCGGGTTGTCCAGGTTTGTGCGCACGATGCATTTTCCAGGCTGGCGAGAGGGGAGAAACGTACGAGACGGTGTAAGCGCCACCGGCAACAGTCTTCTTGCAAGACTTGCAGTCCCAGATGCCGACAGAGTGTCTCTTGACAGTAACCTTGCCGCAGAAAGTGCAAGTGTAGCGGGCATGCTGGGTCACCTCCATCTTCTTGACCTGTGGGAGCGGTTAAATCTTTGCTCTCGACGGTCGCATTCATAGATCCTGGTCGAAACGCACCTGCTTTCTGAGGGAAGCACCATAGCGGGTACCGTACTTTCCGGTGATGCCGACCTTCTTTGTGCGCTTGGTCATGTTGTCGGTTGTTCTGTTGTTGACGGAATAGACGACCAAGTTCAAGATTCAAGAGGAGAATCTCGAGCGCTTCAAGTGCGCAGCGGATTCGCTTGACTCCTCCAAAATTGGGGAAGGTGCCGTGCCGGAGCTTTCCCGTCTCGGGCCTTGGCATCAAGAATGGCCTATCGCTCCTGTCCTCGCTGCAAAGAACACGCTGGAATTCACTTGTTGAAATATGAATAATGACATTCTCTTCACATTGACTGCCATGACTTGAGTATCTGAATTTTTTTCTTGCACTCCCTCCATGATCCATCTAGTTGTATGTACTTGAGCGGAGTCATCAACAAATCCCGCGTCCTGAAGACGACGCTCGGAGACGGTTTTCGCCTAAAGACCCTTAGATATATCAATCAGACATCTACAAGAAGCGTCATATCCCCCATCCCAAAATACAAGTGAGAATTCGCATCATGTCTTCCCGCCCTTACGAACTTATTGTGTTTGGAGCTACGGGCTTCACTGGCAAGTATACTTGCGAGCACATCGTCTCGCAGCTGCCAACCGATCTCAAATGGGCGGTTGCCGGCCGTTCGGAGAGCAAACTTCAAAGCCTTGTTCAAGAGCTCAAGTCACTCAACCCGGACCGCCTTGCTCCTGGTATGTTATCTCACAGGAAGACTACTAGAAGTGGTCACTTACGTCATGCAGAAATCGTGACCTCGGGACTTGACAAGCAGAGTGTCAATGACCTGGTCAAGAAGACCACCGTCTTGATCAACACTGTCGGTCCTTACATGCTATATGCAGAGCCAGTCGTCGAAGCTTGCGCCAACAATGGTACCCATTACCTTGATGTGTAAGTCTTGTTACTCTTTGCACCAGAACACACGCTCACAGTTGGCAGTACTGGTGAAACTCCATGGGTTCGCGAGATGATCAAGAAGTACCATGCTACAGCCAAGGCCAACAAGGCAATCATCATCCACCAGATCGGTGTCGAGTCCGCACCCGCTGATCTTCTTTCCTGGTCCATGGTGAACCACGCTAGACGCACTCTGTCTGCCGGCATCTCGGAACTGGTCTACTCCGTCTACGACCTGAAAGGTGCACCCAGTGGTGGTACTCTTGCTACTGTTATTGGTCTGTTCGAGAAGTACAGCATCTCCGAGACTACCGAGGCCATGAAGCCCTGGTCTCTATGCCCAACCACTCCTCCTCGCAGCAGCCTGGAGGGCCCAACACTGTTCCAGAAGCTGTTCGGTGTTCGTCAAGTCCGCGATCTCGGAACACTCACAACCAGCATCCAAGGTTCTGCAGACACTACTATCGTCCACAGAAGCTGGGGTCTGTTTGAAAGCGGCAACTTCTACGGTCCCAAGTTCCGTTTCAGCCCTTATATGCACGTTCGCAACATGTTCACTGGTATTTTGGTCCACTTCGCCATTGCTTTTGGTATGCTCGCTCTCATTCTTCCTCCCGTACGCTCGATCATGAAGCGTCTCGTCTTCCAGCCTGGTGAGGGACCTTCAAGAGAGTCGTCTAGCCGTGACAGAATCGAGTACCGCGCCCTCGCCAACGTCGATTCAACTGATCCCAATGACCCCAAGCGCATCACTGGTCGCATGGCTTGGGATGGCAGCATGTATGCCCTGACTGGTGTCTTCTTGGCCGAGGCAGCCATTACGATCCTGAGAGATGACACTCCGGCTGTCAAGATGGGAGGCGGCTCTTTGACTCCCTCGACTCTTGGCGCACCCTTCCTGGAGCGTCTCCAGAAGGCTGGTCTGAAGACCGATGTCAGAGTCATGCCCTAGAAAGTTTAGCGATAATCAATAACTAGCAGAAGATCTGTAAATATTCATCGCATGAGATTTCTCTGTTACATACCACGAGCTTGTTTCGAATCCAGTTCTCAACGTTGACAACATCCGGGTCTCCACATCCACCTGAGCGTCTGAAAAATGTCTTTCTAACTACTACTTTTGCGTCTGCTAATCAGTCAGTCACAACCCCTTCAACAGCCAGCAAAAATGCCAGTCAGTCAATGGGGTTTTTTATACAGGCTGACTCCTGAATTTTGGGGCGCTTTGTTGTTTTTATGATGTTTTTCCTCTTTTATTCTTTTTTGAAGGTGTAAACGAACAGGGGAGCAGAAGCTTGACCCTCTGGAATAATGGAGCAGAAGCTCTACACTTTATGATAATGGAGCAGGGGCTCTACACTTTATGACAATGGAGTAGAAGCTCTACACTTTGGTAACGGAGCAGGAGCTCTACGCTTTGAGGTAATGGAGCAGGAGCTCTACACTTTTGAGGTAATGGAGCGGGAGCTCTACACTTTTGAGGTAATGGAGCGGGAGCTCTACACTTTTGAGGTAATGGAGCGGGAGCTCTACACTTATGTAATGGAGCAGGAGCTCTACACTTTTGGATCATGGAGCAGAAGCTCTACCACCGCTTGTAGGAGCAGAAGCTAGACCAGCTAGTGGAAATGTCTGGGAGCCGAGGCTCTAACCATGGGGAAAGGAGAGGGATAAGGTGAATTACCGAGCACGACCGTTGTCTTACAGGGTGGACGTACTGGCTCTCTTGCTGGCATTACCTGCCTTGCGGATCACCTTCTCTTAGAAAGTCTCTTGGTCTCTTATGGCCTTCTTAGCAGCCTTGCGGATTGTCTTGTCTTCGGCCGCCTCCTCTGCCTTCTTTACTTCCTTGCGAGCCTTCTTGCGAGCTTTCCTCTGCTCGATAGTCTCTTCGTGGTCTGTCTCATCACCATCCTCTGCGATGAGTCTCTTACGCTTGAGAATGGCGGATCTGAGGATGTCCTCTAACTTGGAATGGACACTGGCAAATTCAGAAGCACTCAGTATCAATTTGGCCTCGATAAGAAGCTTCCAGAAGCCGTTGCTGTAGTTCGCTGGGGGATCCTCTGGGACAATGGGTGGATCCATGATGACTTCATCATCCTCATCGTCGACCTCGTTGAGAGCATCTGCCATGGTTGCATCGTCCTGGACTGGTGCCGGTGTAGGCAGCGATGCGGAAGCTCTTGACGCTTTCGGTCGCCTGTCGATGGAGTATCTCACCCAAGTCTGAACAAGCTTGTCGAGTGGATCAAGGTTATCATCTTCTGCGAGATGCCTGTGCTCTAGAAAGTCCACATCTCTAGACGTATCTGTCAGTCGATGGGCAATGTGAGTAAATGTAGTGGAAACTTACGCGCGCTTGCGCAACTCTTTCAGACAAGGCGCAACCTTCTTCCGGACCTGCTCCTCGGACATGCCTGTGTCCATCTTGTGCAGCCATTTGGCCACGCTTTCAGGACCACACAACACCAAGAAAAACATCGGTTCTTCCAAAAGGAAGTTGCAGATGTTCTTCACACTAGCGAGCTCGAAGTCGTCATGTGGCATTATGTATATCGAGGTGATCAATAAAAAAGATGGCTATGAAGTGGGTTTGTGAGAAGAAATTGATGCGCGTAACAAGCTTGTACAAAAGTGACGCCGGCTTGGAAGCTTCTCTTGGAAGTGAGCAAGGTCGCAGGTGGGTTGCAGGAAGGCACAGTCATTTTCTATTTTGACAGTCGGATGACAGGGGAAGCGACAAGACAATCGATCTCCGAGTGTGTTCTTCCCTTGATCAAAATCATTGTGCCTTGAGGCAGCCACTACACACGGCAGACCTCCTCGTTTGAAACAAGGCTCTGAATACTGGCATTTGCTCGGCGCTGCCATCACGTCTTTCACTTATCTCTTGTGAGACTTGGCTTTGAGTGATCGCTCGTCCGGCGTCAGTAAAGCTCGCGTCACTTCTGCCCAAGTGTTTATTTCTGCGCTTTTACTCTTCACTGCAGCGCAGCACACTGAATATCACTTTTTCACTTGCGCACAACCTTTTTACTCCTCTCAACCTCTTCCTTCTCGCAGCTCTTTACCTTCTCGCCCTTTACCTTCTTTTACCTCTTCCCCTCGCGCAACCCTTTCCCTCCGCGCACTACTTTCCCTCCGCGCAACCCTTTCCCTTCGTACCACTCTTCCCCTCCGCACATCTCTTTTTCTTCGCGCCGTTCTTTTCCCTCGCACTGCCCTTACCCCTCGCGTAGTCCGTTTCCCTCGCATATCCCTTCCCTACAGACTCGACCATCAGTGGCTCAAATCTAACCCCCGCAAGCAGAGCCCACCGGCGTTGAGGTACAGAAGTAGCGTTGACAGTTTCGTGCTGTCCGCTTTCCTTCGGTGCATCTTCGTCACCGTACATGCAGGTTGAGTTTCTGCTCCCGCACGCAGGTCGAGTTTCTGCCTTCGCACGCTGGTCGAGTGTTGCCTCCCGCACGTTGATTGAGTCTCTGCTCCCGCAAGCAGGTCGAGCTCCTGCTCCCGCAAACAGTCCCTACCAGTGACCACGCACAAGGCTAGCGTTGACAGTTTCTCGCTGTCCGCTTCCCTTCGGCGTATCCTAGTTGGGATGTGTGCAGGTTGAGCCCATGCTCCCCCGGTCATCAGAGGCGGCTGGGCTACGGCCCCCCCTCGTGGTTCTGAGTTTCTGCTCCCACAAACGTCAGAGGCGTCTGGGCTACGGCCCCCCCTCGTGGTTTGAGCTTCTGGTCCCACAACGACTAAAGGTGGTTCGAGCTTCTGCTCTCACCATGTCAGCGGCGGTCGAGCTTTTGCTCCCCCAAACATCACCTTTTCCTAAGCAGGAGTCAACCTGGGTAAAAAATCACTTCAACAATACGCTCGCACCTCTACGTGGTGTTGAAGACAAGTACGCTTCCGGCGGAAACCAAGTCGGGCATCTTTCAGTTAGATATGCATTGGAGGAATGAGATGGACAGACGTATAAGACAACTGACGTTGATCGTGTACTGAATTGAGCTATATACTATACAACGAGGTTGTTACATAAAGGAAAGATCATTGCCATCGGTGGGCAGACATTACTAACGTATTCGACTTCTTCAGGAAGGAATGTGTGTCAACAAAGGAAAGGTTTGAAACACGAGTGTCATCAAATCAACAAGGGAAATCAAGATCATGCATCATTCTCAGATGATGACCTCATCATCCTGGACGGTCACTTCGACATGAGCATCAGCCACGATGCTCAACGAGTGTTTGGTCTGGCCAACACCATTGTCACCACAGCGGAGAGTCGAGCCGCAGAAGTTAATGGTGGTGATGCTGTTGACAACGAGTGTGTCGACTGCAGCTTCGGCAACAACGCTTCGGGCAACGACACCAGCGTCACAGGTAAGGATGGCCCCGCAGAACTCGATGAGGTTGACAGTCTCTGCAATAGTCGATGCGTCGGCATAGGCTCCAGAACCAGGTGGAAGCAGGTTGAGGCCTCCAGGGCTCGCGGTCGTGGAAACACCTGCTGAGCCACTGATAGTGGCGGTTGGACGGTAAGATGTTTGGAAGCCAGAAGGCCCACCAAGAGTGAATGGAAGACCAAGTGTTTGAGTACGAACTGCGTAGAACGATGACATCAGACCAGCAACCGAGGTTTGAGCAGGTAGGTTGAACGAAGCAGCCGAGTTGATATCGGCGGCCAGAGTTGAGATAGCCGAGGCGACACCAGAAGATCCGAGACGGTTGGCTTGAGCACCTACTGACAAAGCACCCGAAAGAATAGGAGCCCAGATGGAAGACTGAGCACCAGCAAGAGCAGACTGGGCGATAGCGCTGGCAGAAGCGGGGCTCACAGTGACGCTGGCCATAGCTGCTGAGAGAGCGGATTGCTGAGCAACGACCAGACCACCAACGGCACCCGTAGCACCGACAAGCAAATTGGACACTGCGGTTGAAAGTACTGGATCAACGGTGGCACTCGCGCCAACAGCCGCAAGAGCGGACGATACCGCGGCAACATCAGAAGTAACAGCCGTATTAGCAGGTACGGCACCACTCGACAAAATGGATGCGACCTGAGATGCGGCAGAGGTGCTTGACTTGTAGCTCGCAGCGCTGGACAATGCCGGTGATGCTTGAGCAAAGATTGATGAGACGGCGGATTGGATGGCGGGATTGGCGGTCGCTTGGGGCCCTGCGGCAGATACCTGAGAGAGGACGGAGGCGAGTGCTGGTTGAATCGATGCAGGAACATAGGCCGACAACGAGGACAAGGATGCCAGAGCGGGATCAACGGCGACAGAACCACCAATCGAGCCACTAATGGTAGGTGGATTAGTCAAACCAGCGACGATTGACGATACAATTGCGGATACAGCGGGATCAAGAGTGACCGAAGGGGTCGCCGAAACTCTGGACAAAAGCGATGACACAATGGGTTGAACCGAAGCTGGCAATTGAGGAAGTCTCGAGGCCAAAGACGCAAGAGCCGGACCAGCAGGAATCACACTAGGAGCGGAGGTCACACCAGCAACAATCGAAGACACGGCAGCTGAGACGGCAGGATCAAGCGTAGCCGAAGGAGTGGCCGAGATTCTGGAGAGGAGCGATGATACTATCGGCTGAGCTGAGACAGGCAATTGGGGCAATCTGGAAGCCAAAGACGATAGAGCAGGACCGACAGCGACTCCGGTGGCCGTGGGAATACTGACACCAGCCACGATTGACGAGACTACTGCCGAAACACTAGGATTCAAAGTAGCGGATGGTGTGGCGGCGACTTGAGAAACGAGCGATGACACGACAGGACGAATTGAAGCAGGAAGCTGGGAGACTTGAGATGCCAGCGAGGACAGGGCGGGACCGACTGCAACACTTGCAGAGGTGGGTCTAGGGGAAACGCCTGCAATGATTGATGAGACTGCCGAGGAGATACTAGGGTTCAAGGTCGCAGATGGAGTTGCGGAGATCTGGCTCAAGAGCGAGGACACGACCGGCTGTACGGAAGCAGGGAGCTGCGAGATTTGGGATCTCAGGGAGGTGAGAGCGGGACCAACTGCGACATTGCTGACTGCAGGACGGGTACTGATACCAGCAACGATGGATGACACCGCCTGAGAAACGCTAGGATCCAGGGTGGCAGCAGGGTTTGCTGAAACCTGAGAGACCAAGGAGCTTACAACTGGGCGAATCGATGATGGCAATTGAGAAAATTGGGATGCTAAAGATGACAGAGCAGGACCAACAATCACATTGGCGCCAGTAGGAACTCTGGTAGGACCAACGGCAGAGACAAGCGATGAAACCACCGAGGATACTCTAGGATCAAGTGATGCAGTTGGAGTTGCAGCAATCTGCGAGACTAATGAGCTCACGACTGGACGAACCGACGCAGGCAGCTGCGAGATCTGAGATGCCAAAGACGACAAGGCTGGGCCAACGATAACATTCCCGCCTGCAGAAACACTGGCACTCACGCTTGGAGAAGCCGCAGAGAGCAGCGAAGAGATGGCAGACGAAAGGCTAGGAGCCAGAGTCGCTGATGGACCAGCAGCAGAGACTTGGCTGAGGAGCGAAGTCAAAGCTGGCTGCAAAGAGCTTGGAACCTGCGATGCCTGAGATGCGACAGACGAAAGTGCAGGGCCTGCTCCAAGAGTCGCAGAGACTGGATTGCCAGTGTTGCCAACGGCACCAGCGAGAGACGACACAGCGGCCGACACGCTGGCTGCAACAGTACCCGAATGACCGGCTGCCGAGACCTGCGAGAAGAGCGAGGACAAGACTGGCTGCACAGAGACGGGAAGCAAGGAGGCCTGTGATCTGATTGACGAAAGGATAGCACCTGCACCCGCAGCGTTGCCATCAAGGGTAGGGGCGCGTGAAGTCGCTTGAACAGCGCTAGCCAGCAAAGATGAGATGGCCGACGATACGCTTGGAGCCAGTGTGCCCGTTGGTCCGGCGGCGGAGACCTGAGAGACCAAGGATGACAACACAGGGCGTACTGAACTGGGCAGATTTGACGCTTGCGAGACCAAAGAGGATAGTGCGGGACCGACGATCACAGCACCGCCCGTAGGAGCCACAGAAGTGACTGGCGAGTTGGAGACCTGGGAGATGAAGGAGGACAATACTGGTTGAGCTGAAGCTGGCAACCCGCTGACCTGAGAGGCTAAAGAAGACAAAGCTGACTGAACAGCAGGGGCGGCTGAACCGACAGCTGTGACCTGAGATGCAAGCGAAGACAACGCAGGCAGTATAGAGCTTGGGAGTTGAGAGGTCAACACAGGATCAATGATCACAGCACCGCTTGTAGGAACTGCGGTAGTTACTGGCAAGTTTGAAACCTGGGAGATCAAGGACGACAAAGCTGACTGAGCCGACGAAGGGAGCTGACTAATCTGCGAAGCCAAGGAGGACAACGCGGATTGTACGCCGGAAGCCGTGGATCCAGCCGCCGAGACTTGCGATATAAGCGAAGAAACCGCGGGCAAAATCGAGCTTGGGAGTTGAGATGTCAATGCAGGATCTACGATCACTGCACCACCGGTAGGAGCCACAGA